GGGGGAGGAAGGTTACATGATCACAGAAAATCTCGACCCAACAATAATTGATTTATCAATAAGATGACCAAAATATCTTAACTAAACCCCCGTGTATGTATTGCTTATTGTATACACTTTCAATGGTGAGTTCGGGGATCCTCAGTCTTTGAATGATTAAAATCTAGTGGGAGACTTTGCCGCTGTACCAAATGGCATGGCTTTGTAACAGGCGGAGCCAATCGTCTACATGTGATAAATGGAGCCCATCGTCTGTATGTGATAAGTGGAGCCCATCGTCTGTATGTGATAAGCTGAGCGAATCATCTGTATGTGATAAAGAGATCCAATGAATTATATACGATAAGCTGAGCCCAACGTTTGTATTTCAAAAGTGGAGACAATGATCTCTATGTAAGCAGCCAATCATATCTATGTGATTAGCGGATACAATCATCTCAGTAAGTTAAACTGAGCCCATCGTCTGTATGTGATAAGCGGAGCCAATGATCTCTATGTGATAAGCTGATCCCATAGTCTGCATGTGATAGGCTTAGGCAATCATCTCTTTATGATAAGCAGAGTCAATCATCAGTATGTGATAAGCTGAGCCCACAGTCTGTGTGTGTTTATAGGATTTGAGCTTAACCTCTCTACGAGAGAAGCCAAAGTTCTCTATGAGAGGAGACAAATATCTGTATGAGAGGAGCAAAGCATCTCTATGAGAGGAGGCACACATTTCTATGAGAGGGGCCAAACCTCTCTATGAGAGGGGCCAACTATTTTTATTAGAGGAGCCAAACATCTCCAAATAAGTGGTGTAAAGGCGGAAATTCGGCCTCATTTAAAAAAAAAATAAATCCACAAATGATCTACTAAGAAATCATAACAGGATTGAAAATAATGAAGCCAAGCGTGTCTCCCCCAGTCCTAAGTTGTGACTGCCCACTGGACGTTAGGACGCCATCTTTACACGGGTTTGCTTTATAAGAGATGGTTTGCTGTTCCAACTCCAGTCCCTCCAACAACACTAGCTAGGATCTGTTACGTCAGAGGTTCTCAACTCTCAACCTGTAGGTCGCGACCCCTTTGGAGGTCAAACAACCCTTACACAGGAGTCGCCTAAGACCATTGGAAAATACTCTTATGGTTTGAGGGTCAGCACAACATGAGGCACTGCATTGAAAGGGTCGCGGCATTAGGAAGGTTGAGAACCACTGTGTTACGGTGAACACAAGTAACCGAATTCTTGTCACGGAGGTAATTCATCGTGCGAACAGTAAAACAAAAACAAATAAAAAAAGTAACTCGACTATTTTTACCACCATTGGCCAGAAACGGGTTTGGGGGGGGGGGAATACAAATAGGTGAAGGTCACAACTGGTCTTCTTTTAGGGCAGTAATGAGCGTTTTATTTACATTTCTACAATTGCGACACCTTAATGGGAGTGTTAAAATAATAA